AACCCATGTTGCTTACCAACCTTTTCCCGGATACGTCACTCATCTGGATTTCAATGGCATTCGTAGTGGTTAATGTGGGCTGCCCCATTAGGTTGACCAGTTTGGGATATTTCTCCTGAGCTTTCTGGGAATAAATATGCAGTATGCTTTGCACGTTCAAATGAACATTGCAGAACCATCAAATTAGTGTAATATGGTACCCTTTTTAGCTTGCACGTTCTGTGGAGATGTGAATCCTGGCCCTGGAGTAACTATAACACTCGAGTACGATCCAACAACTTGGTATGAGAAGTACACTTTGAGCGGATGTCCTCAAGGATACAGATGAGTGCCCAAATTAACCACGTTGCTTTCGCATTGTTCAGAAAAACCGGTCTATTTCAGAATCGGCCAGAATCTCATCACTGATGTTCTCACATGCGATCGTTTGTTGAGATGGACAAGTGGTTCGTACACCAGCCGTCCTACACAAGGAGTTACAGTAAACTGCCGACAAGTTGCCAGTGGTTAATATAGCTTGTCTATAGCATCTTGAACCCCTTCATCAGCATCTCACCCAGCTATGTGGATAGACGGCATGCATATTTGATCCTATACAGTAATCAATCCTGTTCAACGTAATATGGTCCCTTGAGCCTTCACTACATTTACCTCTTCAATTACGTAGAACCGTAGACTTTACTATTTGATTGTGCTTCCTAATCCTACATGCTCAGATGCTCATTCTCAAACATGGAATTTTCGGATTGCTTGCTCTGTGGTTATAATATTTTTTACTAATAAAATGCCCTAATATATGTAACACTTAATAAAAGTTACATTCAAAAGTGCCTCTCATCGCTATTGAAAAGCTCGTATAGGGATTTAGTACGATTCTTAACTGAAGTGGAATGCGGAACGCATCCCTCACATAGGATTGATGCAAGTAAGTCACTAGCACACAGTACACAAGTAAGTCGCTGGATTCCGTACAGAATGTTTACTTTGGAAATGGTTCCCTTCTGCCACCTTTTCGTTGTCTCTTACTGAACTGGAGAATCGGAAGTTAGGGCAATGCCAGATAGATTAAAAAGGCATGTTTAGTGTTACCTGTCATTTCAAGCCTTCTACAAATGTTTACAGATAGAGGCAAAGTGGACGGTAAGTGGAGGTGAGTAGAGGGAGGACGAGAGATTGGATAAGGTGAAGCCGAGGAACTATTACATGTGTTATAGACGTGATGATCGGAAGCTTCGTAAGTCTTTTTTGTAGGAACTTATAAATGCGGGGCTTCGACCCATCCTAAAGAAATAGGTCGTTTTGGAAAAGCCAGATCCGCTTACTGTAGTCAACCTCCCGATGATTAGGTTGCTCCAGAGTCGCCCAAAAAAGGGGCCGTATCCATTTATGTTCAATGTTGTTAATCTTGGAGTGTAAACTATCGGAACCGTGCCATATATGGGTAACATGAGAACATTTTTTTGCTTGGAGAAAAGCAGTAGATTGATAAGAAATGAATCAAACTCTACGATTTTGGCTTTGCCACACCTGTCGTTCTATTTAATCCAGGCGCAGACGGAAAAATCAAAGACCACAAGTTCAGCAGATTGATTCCCCGCTCCTGGATAACGTTCCAGTTCCTACTGGCCATTACTTGTATCGATGTATTCGGTCAGGAGAATAGTCGATCTTGCCATGAAATCATCAATCCATTGGTAACACTGTACAAACTGAACTCGTCTATCGCCCAAGCAATTCTGAGTGAAGCATGCTTTATAAAATCGAAGTACCCATACCCAGAAAAAAGGATGGGGGGGATGTATAGGCACCGGTATGTACTGGCACGATATAAAGTTGAGAGCTGATCAGTAAGGTAAAATACGGTAATTGTGGGTAGAGAATGNAACCTTTGATCTGGAACCCAGGAAGTTCTCACTCGCAGGTATCGGAGCATTCAGGTTAAAACTGAAATGATTTTACGGCGTCTGCCTGAGAAAGTGAAATGTGTCGGGAACTCGATAGCTACGAGAAAGTTGCGATGCACTTCTATGATAAAGGATTCGTTGCGCTAGATATGTTCTGATGGCTACACGGTCATCCCAACATCAACACGCTTCATCAGAAGGCATGCAGTTACTGCTTTCTTACTTACTGTTGGTTGTTGGTGTGGACGCCTGTATGAAGATGATTCCCGATGAGGTGAGTTGATAGAATCTTATCAGGAAAAAGCAGCCTTCCCACAGTGCGCTTGATTTCGCTTCTGCATCTGCTTTTCAACGCTCCTAAAATCTTCTGATTACTTCTAATTTTCTGTATTGTCACCTTTTGTTCCGATGATCTTGAACGATGAGTGCAAGAAATTCCTATTTCAGATGCCACCCGATCATGGTGAGTGGGACCTGTTAAAGGACCGTCTCCTCAACTTCGCTCCTGAGGGGTTGCGAAGATTTTCCGGATAAGGCCTAGTTTGTAATGAAACTACCTTCAGTTTGTGATACTTGCTCGTCGGCCACGCAACTGACATGTCCTTCTGGATTCATCGACTGTGACTTTACCCTTCTCAAGAGATCAACTAATGGAGCGCTTTGTTCAGTGTAAGTGTCAAAAACTCTGTAAAGTCAGTCTTCTTCTTATGTGAGGCCTCTCTTTGGCCAAGATTCCTCCTTTGCGGCAGACCTACCATGTAAACTCTATACGTTATAATTATGTACGGCTTTGAGAGGTGTTTCATCTGCTCTGACGGACTGTGTTGTCCACTAGGGCCCTCTACTCATCTTTGCCTTTGCATGCCGATCTCTGTGATTTTCCTTTACGCTACAGTCACTCCAAGGGTCGACCTGCATCTATCAAAAACAGAACAGAGAGTGTATACATATCTACCTCGACGGTTCTCAGGCATCTATGCTCTGACGGCGACCTACTAGCAGATGACGGATCTGGACCCATAGTGGTACAAGGAGGAAAACTTGTTTGTAATCGTAACGGCGCTTGGAAATCGCCCTCGGGCCGAACGTTTGGCTCCCTGCGGATGAAGGCTACCTGCGGATTCCGTAAGCCCTTTCATTTAGATTATTCCATTCTCAGTTTTTGAACTGAATTTTCTCCTCAAGATCGTAGACGTTTCCTGTTAAGAGTGCTGGTCAGTTTCCTGTGGATATTTAGGATGTGATAAATGTACGACTGCTTTACCCCTCAGCTGTCCACCTGGCTATACGTACTTGTGATTTCGACCTTCTGTTGATCGACTGTGATCGACTGTTCCAACAATTTCCAAGATTTGTCTAAGCCTTTGCAGGATGTGACGAATGTGCGAATGCTCTGACTAACAATGGCATGACATGCCCGATGGCACGAGTGTGCAGACCGGTTACAGGTAGACCTGAGCGTTATTTTTCGGTCTTTATGTGGAACACATGCTTCGCAAAATAACGAGAAAACAGGAATTTGTCAGAAAGATCCGAAAAACTTCAAAAACGAATCTCGAAGGCTGACTTTTGAACAAAAAAAGCTTTCGTTTCCTGCTTCAACCTGCTTCCTCTCTTCCAAACATCTGTAGATGAATTTTAGAAGTCGTTTACTGAGTGATAAATAAAGTGACTGGATATAAGGCAGATTATCTTCAATATAGATGTTTTCAGAACAGTGCAAAAAGGCAGTTTGTGTCGACGGAGTAATGAAAGCGAATCCAGGAAACGTAGCAGTACAATCACTGTCTTGCAATGCCATGGCTCAATGGACGGATTCGCTCGGAGAGACCTTCACTGCTGCACAGTGCGAAGCCGGTGAGAGTTGATGTCGTGAACTTCCAGGTCGATTCGGGGATTCTGCATATCAAAAGTAGTCTCGGGTCGTTTTCCAGTGGTTAGTGTGGCACGGTTGACACATATTCAATACTGATAACCTGAGTCTAATCGGAGCAGAATTTGATACTTTGGCCCATTCGAGAATCATACGGCACCTACGCTCATGATGCACACCTCAATTCGATTGTAGTCATTGAAAACAACAGGTCAAGTGAGACAACATAATGAGAGAAAATAGTTTGCCCATAAGAACACTCTCTCCCTGATTCCCCCTTCCTGAATTCTTCCCAGCCGTGAAGTCCACCACAGAGGCTCGGCCGCTGTGTTGGAAACACCTGCTTACTCCAGGTTGCACATGCCCTGCACTACCGATTTCCGTGGCACCATTTCCACCGGCTCATGGAAACTCGTTGGGAACTGACGCTAACGGCTGCTCAATATTGGAAACCAAGTGCTTCCCAAATGAGCGGTACAGGTATGTGTAGGATAATTCCCAAATCCCCAATTTTGTTTTCGACAAAATTCTAGGCTGGTCACATCGAAGGGAATCATCACTCTGGAGAGCCCAGCTGGCAGAACCCAGCAGATGACTTGCGTTGATGGAACTTGGAGGACAACTATTAATGGCGAAGAAGTTGTTGTACACGAGCAGGCTTGCTATGCCGACTACGGTAGGCTTTTTGGTAGCGGTTTGGATCATTTTACGAGCCGCTAGCTTCTCAGGATGTTACGACCGTAGAGCCACGCACCGATTCAGGTTGTCTGTTCTGCCCTGCCATAATTGAAGGTCCACGAGTAGTTGCGAAGATTAGATACCATCCAACAACCTGGTGTAAACATTACGTACTTAGCGGTTGTGGAAGAGGATACAGGTAAGGATGAGTTCATTATAATTTGTTACATTCGATTCACTATCGCTAAAAGCACCGGTGAGGTGTCTGAATCGTAACTCGACATAGGTAGGCATCACAGAGTTGGCAAACATGAATCACTCGCCATATATGTATCTGAACTAGTCTGTTTCAGAGTTGGTACGAACTTGATCTCAAACGTTTTGACATGCGATATGCAACTGAGATGGACAAGTGGTGGTTATATCGGACCTGTAGCAGAGCCCATAACTGTAGACTGCCGTCTCCAGTAGTTAATTGATACATCTATTGATTTTCAATCAATTAATCAAATATTTCAATCATTCATTTATGACTGAATAGATTACTTTCCCACGGAAAGGAAACCTTCCGAAAGCATTTACTGAGTAGATTTAGAGGGCTAGTTAGAGTTAAGCTGACCGCAGCACCGTGAGGTAATGGACAAAGTTCACGGCTAGGAGAAGCGAGACGTATTTC